CATAACTTTTATTTATGTTGAGTTAGTACGCAGAGACTTTTAGAGATTCTCTTACAGGGAAAGAAGTAGATCTGTAAAACCTTACCTATATTTTGTAATGTCATCTTTTTTTTTGGAAGCAAATCCAACTCTGCTGTCCATGCTATTTATTAACAGTAAACGCCCAGGTTGAGATAAACCATTTTGCAGTAGTTGCCAAGAATATTATACATTTTTAGATAGATAAATGTGCAAGATTTGTCTTGCGCACCCATGCCCTCCCTTCCCCCTCTTTCTGCTCAAAGAAGAGGAAGCTGCTGCTCGCTTGGTCTATGCCGGCGAGAGCGTACTGTTTTATCGAGTGGAGCCAACGTGTGTGCACGCCTCGACCTCCTGCTTCGCTGGGGACTCTCGAACCGGACCTCCACGTCGATCTGCCTACTCTAAAATATCTGTTACGGCTGATCTGCCGATCTTGTATTTACTCGACGTCCTAATAAAGAATAATTTAAACATTGGTCCTTCGAGCCGGATAGCGTGACTGGGACAGACAACCGCCAGAACCTCATCGAGCCCAGGACAGCCAGGAACACGGTGCTACGCGAAGCAATGTAAGTAGGACGATGTGAGATGCGATCATGCGAAAATACATTCTCTACGTCCGAGAACGTATCGAGACATTGAGCCTCTGTTGCAAGTGATGCAATCATGCAGAGCCGCGCCACGTGGTAGAGCGATTTGAGGTTATGATAGCCTTAACAAGATGTGATAGGCGAGAGACGCTCCACCGCGACTGCCGTGCAGTCTGCGTCGTGGACCTCGCGTGCGACCGCGATTACTCAGTCAGTGAGGCTGTCGAGAGGTTTTGGGTTGCAGATTGCAGGCTGCTTCATGTTTAAACCACGGGATTTACTAGTTCACGTCATCCCGCGGCTGGTCGGGTCGACAAATTCATTTGCGATTCCTCACGCCCTTTTTCTCAATATTCTACGTAGACTCATTTGGCACGCACGATTGCACCACAAGTAACAAGGCACCGTTTGAGAGACAAGCGTCGAGCTCAGCGCGTGACTAATTTACAGGGATAACGAAGGCTGGCCCTCGTTGCTGGAAACGTAGAAAGCTCTTCTAGAGGTTCTCGCGGAATTCACTCAATCCGCCAAGAGCGTCGAAGTATGGAGCATGGGTCTCGTCGACGCCAGGTTCGAGCTACTCGCTGATTATTGGAATGACTTCCAAGCCAATCATAAGGATCTGATTCAGGGCGCACCTGTGGACAAAGTTGCCTCCTTGAGAGCCCTGTACAGGTCCGCAGAGGGATACTACCTCGACGCTAAGGCGTGCCTGTATGACGGCTGTTCCCGACCATGCCAGGATGTGGTGGCCAGTTACCACTCCCCGGACCGCTCCCTGGACCGCACTCGGGCCCTCGCCTGCCGAGCATCAATATCCCGCTCTTCTCTGGCCGTCGCGAGGATTGGCAGTCTTTCCGCGACCTGTTCCAGGCGTTTATTCACCAGGATGCTCGGCTCACCGACGTCGAGAGGCTTTACTACCTAAAGGCAAACGTGTAGGGTGAGGCAAAAGCAGTTCTGGACACCTTGCAGCTCGTTGGCTCCAATTATTCCACGGCCTGGAGTCTTCTTGTCTCGTGGTTCGAGCATCGCCGCCTCCTTGTGCAGGACCACGTCACGGCACTCCGAACGCTCAAGCCTCTGCGCGAGGAGTCCGCTGCTGGTCTGCAGGGCTTGCTCGATGCCTAAGAAAAGCACCATGATCAACTGCGAGCGCTCAATCAGCCGGTGGAACATTGTGATGTGTGGATGGTCTCTTTTGCCTCGACCGCCATGGACCCCTCGACTTGGAGAGCCTGGGAAGACGAGCTCGAGAAGTTGGAGGCAGCCAGCTCTGCACAAGAGGAAGCGGCCTCCTTCGCCACTTTGTCCAGCTTTCTGATGAGGCGCGGCCGCTCACTGACTTCAATGGAAGCCTCGCGCCCCCCCCCCCCGATCGACGAACGATCCTGTACGCTCTACCGGCAGTCGCCCTCCCGCGCCGACGCCACTCAGCTGCAAGCACCGATTTTTAGTCACCCACGCAGTCAACGATGACTGCTCTGCTTGACATGCCCCGCACTACGTAGGTTACTGCAGCCGTTTCCTGGAACTGGACGCGCTTGGGCGAAGGGGTTTCGTCGCTCAGCATAAGCTGTGCTTTAACTGCCTGAAGCCGGGCCAGATGGCAACTGTCTGCCCTTCCCAAGGCGTATGCCAATATTGCAAGGCGCGGCATCACAGCCTCATCCATGATGGCGGTCGCAAGCGTAGGGCCGCGCCCGACCCAGCACCAGCTGAGGCAAAGCAGTGTCTCTTCACCTCGGACTCCAAGGACGGGATCGACGCGGCAGCTGCTTCACCGTTGTGACTAGCCGTCTTGCCCACGCTCAAGGTTCAGCTCATGGGCCCCGGGGGGCGGACAGTCACAGCAAGAGCACTCGTCGACGCTTGTTTGGAGATTTTAATCACGTCCACTGCACTTGCTCGAAAGCTTGACGCCAGTCCCGAGCCAGCCGTCACGAGCATCTCTGGCGTCGGAGGCGCTGTCTTTATGTTCTCCCCAACGATTGCAAGTTTGCAGCTCCAAACCCGGAACTCAACCCGGACGTTGCGGCTGACTGCGCACTGCTTGCCCCAAATGGGACTCCGCACCCCCTCCCGACCGTTACAACCAGCCGTCATTGAACTCTGGAACGATTTACCAGATCTTTCAGACCCGACCTTTGGAATACCGGGCGGCGTCGATATCCTACTTGGAGCCGACGTGTACCCCCATCTACTACGGTCAGGGCAGTTATTCCGTGGAGATCACGTCGGACAGCTCACCGTTGCCGGCTGGATGCTCGCCGGTCACGCACCGGGCCAAGCGACCTCGTCCTCGCCGGCTGCTTGCATGACGACACAGGACACCTCAGCTCCGCCTTGGCACGAGCAGCTAATCGCACTGATGCAACGGTTTTGGGAATTGGAGGACGTGCCACGTGTAATTCGTCAATCTCCTGATGACATCGAGTGCGAGGTCATCTTTGCCGATCATCATCGGGCTGCCGACGGGCACTATGTCGTCCGCCTGCCGCTCAAGCGTGACGGAATTGAGCGACTAGGAGAGAGCTTAACCGGCGCTAGAGCATCCCTTCGTTCGCTACAGCGCAGATTGCGGGGTGCCCTGGAGATGGCCATCGAATATGCACGCTTTATGGACGAGTATCTTAGGTGCGGGCACATGCGGTTACTGACCGACGTGGAGCTGCGCGAGTCGTCGGGCCTCGTGCATTATATCCCGCACCATGGCATCTGGCAAGCTGGCGACCACCGGAAGAAACTGCGGGTCGTATTCAACGCATCGCGACCGACATCCACTGGCTATAGCCTCAACGATATCCTGCACGCCGGACCGAAGCTCCAAGCCTGCTTACCGACTGTCTTGCTCCGCTGGAGAAGGCATCGGATTGCTTTGTGCGTGGACATCCAGATGATGTTTCGGCAGATCTGGATCGACAAGCGTGACGTGGACCTCCAGCGTATCCTGTGGAGCTCTGATGACTCTAGCCCGCCGAAGCACTATCAGTTGCTCACTGTGACCTACGGTGAAGCTAGTGCTCCCTATCTCTCTCTACGGACGATTTCCCAGCTATGCGAGGATGAAGGCCATACTTGGCCCGAGGCCGTGCCTATCGTCAAACAAGATCGATACGTCGATGACATTCTCTCGGGCGCTGACGACGTTGAGACGGCTCGACTTCGCCGCGACCAGCTGATCGGCTTGTTGCAAGCTGGGGGCTTCCCTCTGAGGAAGTGGGTGGCCAACGATCCGGAGCTGTTGCGTGATCTTTCTCCAGATGCCCAACTAAGGCCGACCTGGCGACAGCTCAGCGCAGGCGGTCTTGTCAGCAAACTCGGCGTCAGCTGGGACCCGATTGACGATTGCTTCCACCTCACGCCGCCTACCCTACAGCCACGACCGACCAAGCGCGCGATGCTTGCCGCTCTAGCACGACTCTTCGATCCCTGTGGATGGATCGCGCCCGTTGTCTTAACTGCCAAAATGATCATCCAGGATCTCTGGCGAGCGCGACTCGAATGGGATGAGCCCGTGCCTGCGGCCATGGCCCAACGCTGGAACAGATTTCTGACTCAACTGCAGAATGTCCCCAGCATTGCCATTCCTCGCTGGATCAGCTGCAGTCCCGCCACTAGTTTGCAACTCCACGCATTTGCAGACGCGAGCCGGCGCGCGATGGCTGCTGTCGTGTACTCGCGCGCTGAGAACCCAGCCGATGGTGTCTGCGTGCGTATTTTGATGCCCAGGACCAAGTTGACCCCCATCAAAAGCTTGCAGCCAGACGCCACTAGTCCAACACATATGACGATCCCTCGATTGGAGCTACGAGCGGCACTGCTCGCAGCGAGGCTGCTACGCATGGTTGCCAAGGAATATGCTGTGAGAGTTGAGCACTGTCACGCCTGGAGCGACTCCCAGATCGTGCTTTACTGGCTCCGATCATCGGAGCCGACAAACAACTCATTGATCGACAATAACGTGGCTCACATCCAGGAGCTTCTGCCCTCCCACGTATGGAGATATGTTCCGACGGACTCTAATCCAGCGGATGTGGCGTCCCGGGGCACGGATCTGTTCACGCTTCAGCAAATTCGTGCTTGGTGGGAAGGCCCTTCTTGGCTCGCGGGCCCTCTTGACTTGTGGCCAGCCGAAAACGCAAAGTTGCATAGCTCCTGCAACCCAGTCACCGACAGCGCCCTCCAATCTTGTTGTGCTGTTCAATGCACTACGCCAAATCTGCTCGAGAAGTTCTTAGACCTTGGCCGTCTTCTACGCTTCCTCGCTCGACTGCGTCGCTGGATCCGTCGTCGGCTACGTCGAGATCCCGCTCCCTCGCCTTTCGCCCCTCTGACGACGATTGAGCTGCGCGATGCCTACCTCGCCTGCGTCCGCCTCAGCCAGCGACAATTCTTCGCACTAGAGATTGCGAGCTTGCAAAAGGGCGGCTGTTTCCCTGCGAAAAATCCACTGCTGTGTCTAGACCCGATCTTCTCCGATGACGTCCTTCGAGTTGGCGGTCGTCTCCAACATTCTGCGCTCACCTTCGATGAGCAGCATCCGCCAATCCTCGACAGCCGATGCAGCCTCGCTCGGCTCATTATCCAGTGGGCTCATGCTCGTGCTCTTCACGGAGGAGTCAGAGTCACCAGCGCCTATGTGGCTCGCAAGGCCTGGATTGTTGGCGGGCGGCGGCGAATCAAAAGCATTCTCCAGGGATACGTGGTCTGCGCCCGACTGCAGGCGCGGCCTGCCACTCAACACATGGCACCTCTACCGGCCGCACGGGTTACTCCTGCTCGAGCTTTCTCTCGCACTGGAGTTGACTACGCTGGCCCATTCAACATTTTGTCTGCTAAGGGCCGAGGCATCCGCACAAGCAAGAGCTACGTCGCGATCTTCGTCTGCATGACCACCAAGGCGTCACACCTTGAGCCCATTGGTGATCTCTCCACCGAGTCATTCATTGGAGCGCTCACAAGATTCTACGCCAGGCGCGGTAGGCCCTTACAGATCTGGAGTGATAACGCCACCTGCTTCCGCGCCGCAGACCGTGAAATGCGCGAGGCTCTCCAGGATGCCGAAATAAAGTGGGAGCGTGTTGCTGGCTCACTGGCTGAACAAGGCGTCACGTGGCACTTCATTCCTCCACGGGCGCCCCACTTCGGCGGACTATGGGAGGCTGGTGTCAAAGCAATGAAACATCATCTCCGTCGTGCCCTTGGACCGCGCAACCTCACCTACGAGGAGTTTTCCACCGTTTTGGCCAGCATCGAGGCGGTCCTCAATAGCCGCCCTCTCACTCCATTCACCGGAGGCTTAGATGATCTGGACTTCCTCACCCCTGGACACTTCCTCGTCGGTGGCCCGCTGAATTCTGTGCTTAAGGCCAGTACCCCGCTCGAGAAGCTCGATCGCCTAAGTCACTGGAAGCTGGTCCGGGGAATCCGAGACCAGTTCTGGAGCCGCTGGAGCCGCGAGTACTTGAACACGCTCCAACAACGCCCCAAGTGGAAGGTCCCACGTTGTAATTTCCAGGTTGATGACGTCTTTGCCGTGGTGGACGCCACGCTCCTCAAGTCTAGCGGCAGGTGGCCGCTCGGTCGCATCATCTCGGTTCATCCCGGACCCGACGGGCTCGTTCGCGCCACCACCATCCAGACCGCCACTGGTGAATACACCCGTCCCATCAGCAAGCTCTGTCTTCTGCCCGTCCGATCGCCTAGTGCCGGCGACGCCGCCTCCAAAGACCCTGTGGCCGAACCTGACCCAGGTACGGCGGGCGGAGACTGAGATCGTTTACGGAACGAGGCGGGCGGGTTGTGCAAGATTTGTCTTGCGCGCCCATGCCCTCGCCCCCCCCTCTTTCTGCTCAAAGAAGAGGGAGCTGCTGCTCGTTTGGTCTCTGCCGGCGTGAGCGAACTGATTTTTCGAGAGGAGCCAACGTGTGTGCACGCCTCGACCTCCTGCTTCGCTGGGGACTCTCGAACCGGACCTCCACGTCCATCTGCCTACTCTAAAATATCTGTTACGGCTGATATGCCGATCTTGTATTTACTCGACGTCCTAATAAAGAATAATTTAAACAATGGCCTTTAGCACCATTTTACTGAATATTTTAGTATGAAATTTTGTATGCTCCTTCTTGAAGGGTATTTCATAAACGTTTTAAATGAATCGTCGAGCACAATTGTTTAAATCTGTTCGCGTATGTGTGTATACGCTTATTGAGAGCGAGAAAGAGAGAAACGAAGGCCTCGTGGCATCGCAACGCCGGGGGGTCTCTCCCAAAAGGGCCCCCCTCCCTTAATTGTCGCCGCGTTGTCCAGTCTCTCTAGACAAACCGCGAGCGAGTCAGTTGCAATCAAAGAGCGTTAGAACGAGCGTGACTTAAGTACTCGTCTGCTTCGATCGGCATGTTTTTTGGTCTTTATCGCACTGACCAAGCGACGCACGCTGGCCAAGGAGAGCCTTCCTCTATCTCCGTCGTCTAAGCACAGTCCATATTTACAATTGATTTAATTATTAGCGTCATTTTCACATGTTATGTGCGTCGTTTAACTAACCACGTCGTGGCCGGTGATCTATGTAAGCTGCTTCTTTTGTCGTTTAAGGCGTTTATATGCCGCATAGTATAAATCGCTCTCTTGCTTTAATGACTTAATTGATATGCTAGTCAGAAGCCATTTTTCTAATTAATGTGCTTTATGTAGGGCACAAAATAGTTTTTTCTTTTCAAAATGATTTTGTCCATATGTAAGGCATACTGGAGAAGAGACTTTTTCTTTAAAGTCTTTTGAAGGACGATGCATTTGGCACCGTGAACCGTGAACTTCACTCTTTAGGATTAAACTTATGAACTTAGCTCCATCACTTCCGTAAGCAATAACTTTTCGTAGGTTCTTGGCAATAGTTATTAGATGATATTCAAGTCATTCAAACTAACATTACCCTTAAACCATTTGATTCCGTGCACTTCTATTTTCTGGTGATTGTTATGCTTTTTTATATCTGACAGTGAACCATTGAAATTGCAAGGTGGCTTGATTATCCCATGGCCAACAACGTTTCCTTGCAAGGAAACCCCTGGAAATTCTTTCGGTATAAAATATCTGTCAGAATTATAAAAACCGTTGATACCAATGACGAATAATGATGATTGAATTCATGATGTGTTTGATGAGTATTTTGAAAGTGTTATTATTTAAGTTAAAAATTATTTCTCCTTATGTATTTTTCATTCGACAAGGCTCTCTTTCTCACCGTTGCTGTTCCTACTTATGTCACATGGGTAAAACTAAGTAAATAATAAGAGACAACATGTATTTATAACTCATCTTTATCAGAGCTAGTGACATCTGCCCACCCAACAGCGCTGCGTAAGATTGCGCAATCTCTCTCCATAAGCAAGTATGAGATGCAGCTTTCCTTCTCTCTGAGTGCTTGGGCCGCTTTTGTGACTACAATCAGTCAGTTAGATAGCTTAGAAGCACAACTTTACTTTTAATAATTACTTTTACATCTTATTCGTGAATTATAATCTACATTTTCTAACAGTACTGTATTACTATGATAAAATTTAATACAGGTGCAAGTTATTCATGTTGTTCACACTCTTAGAGTTGTAAATATTGAGGAGTATGGATGCCCAGTGCTTGCAAAACTTAACGAAGCCTACTTGCCTGCAAATACCATGCCTTTAACAATAACTCCTTATGTGCTATCAGAAATGTTTCTGCAGTAAGGAATTAAAAATATTTTAAATTAAAAAAAAAAAAAAAA